CAGCGGCACCGAAGGATGCGTCCCCGAGGCTCTCAGACCCGCGCGTCAGGGGCCCTCAGTCGTGGCGCCCTCGGCCCCTCCGCAGGCTCAGCCCAGTCAGCAGCCTCTCCTGCGCCCCCCCGCCCCCGCCGAGGCCCGGGAGCCCTGCTGCTCTTCGTGGGGCTTTCCCTCGGATGCTGCCCACCCGTCCCGCGCCCAGGCCTCTGAACCGTCAGCTGACATCCCTCACGCCGGAGCTGCAGCCGTTGATAGGCCTGAGAAGCACCCTTCAGCCAGTCGCTTAACCGAAGGGATCAGTCAAGACCCGCCTGGGCGCCTGCCTCCCGGAGCCCTGAGCGCCCCTCGGCGGGCGGCGAGCCAGCTGCCCGTGGGAGCCCAGTGGGCTCCCCAGGGGTCGGCTTGGGCGAACTGCCCGCAGCGGAAAGCAGGCATGGTACACGCATGTCACTCCCGGGTGTCAACCGGCAAAGCCTCCACCAGGCACACAGGGTGCAGGGGAAGCCCAGCTGCGCCACCGCTGGCGGTGTGGCCTCAGGCAACGCGCCAAACACTCTAAGCCTCAGCGTCTGGGTCAGTGAAATGCGGATAAAAACGGTCCTCTCACAGGTTAGTGTGGAGACTAAATGTTTAATAAACAGTGGGTCTAATATCCATTCCCTCGTTTCAACTTGACACAGGCCTGGCCCGCAGCGAGCCCTCGGCTGCGTTGCCATCCCATGTCCTTACAGCATTTCTGTGACGGGGCCCCAGTCAGGAGGCAAATGCGAGGCAGCGGGGCCCCAGAAGACCCTCCAGGAAACACAGGAGGAATGGTCACTGATGGTCCCAGGCCCAGATGGCCACTCATTTCCATGCACCATGACCCTCCCCCAACAAAAAGACACAGGGACCCCCAGAGCCGTGGGAGCCAGCCAAGGGCTGGGGACAGCAAGGCAGGCAGTGGGGTCCGTGGGAAGAGGACCCCCACCCCACACAAGGGGCACAGGCCGCCCCATCACCAGGAGGAAGCTGCTACCCTCCACCAGGCCCTGTTGTCATGGAGAAGCAGACATGGAAGGGAAGCGGGGACCGCCCCTCGGGCTGCCCCCGATCCACACGTGGGACCAAGACACACTACCCGGCCGGCTGAGGAAAACACAACCGGCGCTCTCCGGACACCCTGCAGGAACAAGGCCACCACGCCTTGCCGTCTGAAGGGCCCACGGGGCAGCAGTGGAGGAGAGGGGCACCCTTGGCCGAGGGCCCCCCACACACGGGGCGCTGCGCAGAGCCCTATACCCCACCCCAGCTGCGCCCTCAGAAGCTCCACCGGCTGGGCTCCGTCAGCCCCTCACAGCTGCAGGCACGGGCGCAGGAGCCTTCCCCGGGGACGCCCAGCTCGGGCCGGCGGGAGGGCCGAGTCTGCCCCGTCCAGGCCCCTGGCACACGGACGGGTGGGCTCACGTTGGGAGAGCGGACTGGGGCTCAGGAAGGACAGGGTGCCCTGCTCAGCCAGGGCTCCAGGGAGAGAACTGTCTCTTACTTTGGGGCCTGAACAGGCCGTCTGGGGCGACGGCCTGGTGGGCAGGACTGTGCAGGAAACCCGCCCGGCCTAGAGCAGACGAGCTTGCCGGGCGCCTGAGACCGTCTGGCCGCTGGCAGGACAGCTGGCTCCCCAAGCCAGCCCTGGGGGCTCGGCCAGCGCTCCCAGAGGCAGCCGCAGCTGCGTGCGCCCGAGGCATTTTGTCAGGAAGATTACAGGCTGAAACAGGAGCACGAAAAATAATTAATCTGCGAGCGGATTTTATTTAAGTGTTGATTCATGGTTGCTCTGTAAGCCTACGGCCCGCCAGAACCATAAATTAATGAGATAAAATGCGGCTGGCCCTCCATATTTCAGGCCGGGTATTGACGTTTCAGCATCCACAGATTTTTAACGGTATTGATTGAGGACACCAGGATAAATGGTCTTGGCGCCAAATTCCCATTAACGACAATGGGCACTGAGTGACTAATTCCCCGACGCCACGGCGAAAACGCCCCGCACTGCCTTCTCCTGGCGGGGAGTTCTAATTAGATTGAAGTGAAAAAGCCAAATCACCCAGGGGAGCAGGCGGCTCGGGTAAAGAGGGAGAGCAGACCCGATGACGAGAAACGACGAGACACCGAACAAGGCCGAGAGCCGCAGGGGCTGCGCCAGCCGCCCCCTCCGCTGAAGAGGGCGCCCAGCACCGCCCGGGCCGGGGGCGGGGCGCAGGGAAGCGGTGCAGACGGGGGGGGGCTGCCACACCCGCACCGGCCCCTTGGCCCCCAACAGGTTTGACTGCCTGGCAAGGACCAGCCTCCGCTCGGTCTTGTTCACGCGCCTGGCCAGGTGAAGGACACGTGAAGGCCACAGGACAGGCCGCCAGCAGCCCCTCTGCAGGAGGCCCCATCCAGGGCTGGAGGGCCTCCCCAAGAATGAGGGCCAAACCCCCCATCCCCACCCCACCCAAGTAACAAAGGACATCCAACACGCTCACCACTGTAGCCCAGCACCAGGTCCTGTACACAGCAGGTGCTGAATAATGGGCCTTCGACAGGTGAGCCAGGTGGTGTGTGCCATTCCTAGCAGAAGCCTAGTGCATGGAAAAGTCCCCCTCACGTCCCCACCTGGACGGCCAAGCTCTGAGGCCGGGCCCGGGCACGCCACGGCCGGGGGCCCGCACGGTGGGACCGGGCACTCCCCCCGCCCCAGCGCCACCGCCAAGGGCCAGGGAGCAGCAGCCCCTGCTCCCACTCGTCCCCGGCCTCAGGCACAGCCGCCAGCTGCCCGCCGGGGAACCTGCCCAGAGTGACCAACGGCAGCAGCGGCCCCCTGCTGCCACCTGCTGTGGCAGTCCCCAACTTGTCAGGCAGAAGGGCTCTGAAAGTCTGAAGACTTCAGAACAGCGCCCCCTCTCACACACACCCACGCACACGAGGGCGTGTCCGTCTAACATCTGCTGGTCGAGAGGACAGAGGTGACGAGGGCCACTAGAAGTCCGTCAGCATCACCAGTGAACCCGAGAGCATCAACACATGAAACGCAGCCCTTCACGCCTGGGGAACACACGCCCCACGGCTCTGGAGCTTCATGAAGCTCAGGCTCCGGCTCCTGCACCCCACACCCATTCCCCCGGCTCCCTGCACCCCACGCTCCCACACAACACGTGGTTCGTGCCCCTGCATCACCTCTGTCCTCGTGTTCCGTCTGCTGAGACGGCACTTCCCTCCCCCTCGACCATGGCCCTGCACCCCAATTCTCTGTCCCCCTAATTCCTGCCCCAGCGCAGGTTCCTCTTCCTCCAGGAAGTCTTCCTTGATGTCCCACGCTAGACGCTCTCTTAGCACCTGTGTCTTGCTGCAGCACCATAACCCGGGACTCTCTGTACTTCTGTGCCTCCCAGCAGCCATGAACTTCTCAAGGGTGGGTCCTGGGTTTTGTTCAGCCCTGAGTCTCCAACGCTGGGCATGTCGTGCTGAACGCACAGGCAACAGAGCACAAGGTCTGGCAGAAGGCTTTGGGGCTGGGCGGATCCACGTGCATCCTGGTTCCACCTCCTGGCTCATGCCCCTGGGCCAGTGTGCGCAAAGAGGATCCTGGGGACACCAGCCTCTGAGGGAGAGGGGGGCCCAAATGAGACCCGATGTCAGTCTGTGGAGGAAGGCCTGGCATGCAGTGGGCACCCAGTCAGCGCCCTTACCACACGGCACCAAACTCCCGGAGCCCAGCTCCCTCGGCAGCCGCGTGGGGCTCACAGGGAGACCCCAGACGGCCAGGGAAACGCTCTTCCAGAAAGAGCCACGCTGTCCACTTGGCACAGCAGGACGGGCACAGCCTCTGCAGGTGCATGGACACGGCTCAAGTCCCCAGGGGACACGTACCGCCGGGGCCCCCGAGCAACCCCCTCGCCTCTTTAGCCTCAGCCTCCTCGCCTGTAAAATGGGGAAACAGCCACGGGCAGCAGGCCGAGGCGAGGATGGCCATATCGCCGCAAAGCCCACAGCACAGCGCCAGCGGCTTGCCCAGCCACCCGCGCCGGGGGAGCCCGGGGCTCTGTCAGAGGAGCTGCAAGGCTGCCCCTCCGCAGCCCAGAGACGGGGAGGCTCGAGGCGGGAGACGAAGCCCACAGCCCCCCGCCTGCCCTCCCTGCCGCTGGGGAGAAGCTGGGCAGCGCCCCTGGAGAGGCTGCACCGCCTGCTGGGTCCCCGGAGAGGCCCAGGCCCAGGCTTGCCTACGGGCTCAAGGGGCCCCTGGGCCCCCTCCAGGCTCTGGACGTGGCGCCCAGGGGAAGAGCGACCCCGGAGGAGCCCCGGGAAGGGAAGGCAGCACCCCGGGGGTCACAGTCCAGGCGTGGACCTAATGCCACACCCCCGGCTCTGCCCTCACCTGACCCTGGGCAGGACCCATGTGCTCGGTGCTGCAGCGGGACCAGGTGCTAACCCTGCCTGTCACACGGGAGTGTGCGGTGACCGGATGTCCCTCCCGCCAACCTGTCTCCTTCTGCCCTGCTTGCCGGGAGCCCCTGCGGATCCGCCCGGCACGGACCCGCCTCGCCTAGACGCCTAGACGCCTCTGCAGCGTGGGCTTCAAAGCAGACCTCACTCGCAGACGCACTGTACGAGCTGGAATCGCTCCTTACAGCCTTTCAACGGGAATGGACTGACAGGAATCCTAACCTGTTCTGACCCAAGGACACTGGGCTAAAGCTGAATGTGTTTCGGCACAAGCTGCACGTCAGAAGTTGATTAAAAAGCCACCTCGTTACCCAGCCCCACAGCTTGAGGCTGAGACAACCGTGGAGCCCTGTCCTCCGGGCGCTGGCACAGGCCTGCTCCACGCTCTCCGGGGAGAGGCTTGGTTCGGGGCCGGCATGGGCTGGTCCTGCGGCCTGTCTCCCGCTGCCCTGACACCAGCTGCGGGCCACCGAGAAGCGTCCCCAAAGAGAGCTGACTCGGAAGGGGCGCCTCGGGGTCACGACACAGAGAAACACACCTACCTGTTTCAAGGTCGGTGAGGTACACAGCGTAGTCGAAGCCGCCGCTGAGGATGCGCTGGCCGCAGGGAGACCACCGGGCGGCCCGCACGGCCTCGCTGTGCAGCGAGTAGGTCTGCAGGCAGCTCCCCGAGTCCACGGCGTTCCACACCTGTGAGGCAAGAACAGCACCAGACGTCAGGAGCGGGGTGCCTGGACTCTGGGGCCCAGCCTGGGCCCTGCACACGGGGAAAAGGGTCTCGTAATGGAACTAGATTCCCTCCATTTTACCATCGAAACAAGATCTAGAGGTTCAACTTTCCCTTGTACAAAGGTAAAGGCTTGGGGCTGGTGAGTAGAGGGGGAGCTTTTCCCAGAAACTTTCTGGGGTTCAGGGAGCCCATAAGAAAGCAACCTGTCCCATGTTCTGCCGCTCAGCCCCCCACACTCACAGCTGTGCCTGGCTCGCCTGTGTCCCTGACATCTGCCCCCGGGACAGGGCCTTCGCCGCCTCGAAGCGGGCCCTGCACCCGGCCAGGCTGCCTTCCCGGCCCTGCTTTAAGGCGAGGGTCCACCCCGAAAAGGGCCGCCACGCCTGTGCTGACAATGGGCAAAGAGCAGCATTCGGCCCTCAGACAGAGAAGGTGCCACCCTCGTGCCCACCCCGGCTCCCCTCCACACGGGGACGGAGGCCCGGGGCAGACGCCCCATGGACACTTCCTGACTTCTGAGGTGCGCTCCAGAGCCCTCAGGTATAGAACTGGACGTTCCGAGAGCCAGGGCCACTGGGTGCCTGCGAGCCTGGGCTCAGCTGTCACCAGCTCTCTCAGGGAACCGCACCCACCCCCTCAGAGCCCCAGGGAAAGGCCAGAAGGCATACAGCCGGCCCAGGGCCTGGCCTCCCCAACCCCCCCAGGGTGATTCAGAGGACTGAACACCAGGGGCAGCAAAAGCTCCTGCAGCTGCAGGTGGGCATCGGCCGAGGGCTCCTCCCCACCCGAGGGCAGTCGGGGGGTGAGTGAGGACCCAACAGGCAGCACTGTGGGGGGCAGAGGGCGGAGCTGATACATGAGTGGCAGGCGTGCTCTTTGGGGCCAGCAGGCCAGCAGGGTTCCCGGACACTCTCAAGCACCCGCAGGAACCCAGACTCCATTTCCTTAGTAAGAGGAAAGCCCAAGCGCACACCCACAAGCCTGATCCTAGCGAGAGCCTTCCCCTCGCGGTGAGAAAAGTCATCCTGAAGGTTCTCAAAATGCACAGGATGAGGGTTCTGAAAGCACGTGTCCTGGGCACGTAAGTGTCGAAGCTCAAGGAAACAAAAGGCCGAGGGGGGCCTCCGAGACTGCTGAGAAGGCTCAGCCCCTCTCCTCCTTCCTGGGGGCCCCCCGCCGGGGCCGCACGCTGAAGAGCCAAGAAGAGCAGCATTGACATAGAAACACGGGCAGGAGTAACAGGAGAAACAGCCCACGCCTGCCACGTGGCCTGCGGTTCATGGTACAATGGCAGAGTGCAGGGCACTGCTGTTCGTTTGCACTTTGTTTTCAAAACTGTGTACAAGTCTAACTTTAACAGAAAAAAAGTAAAATTAATGAACTGGATCCACAGAGCTAATTTGGCTCAACAGTACATAGGTCATGCGGCTTACACATAGCATGATGCCATACAAGTTTTAAAAACGCCACCTCACACCCGTTAGCATGGCCTCTCTCTAAACACAAGGGCAGACCCAGCGCCGCGAGGGCGTGGAGAAGGAGGGGCCCTGCACGCCGCCGGCAGGACGGGGCGGTCCAGCCACGGCGGAACCCTCCACAATCGGCGCAAGACGTGCCACAGCGTCCGACGACTCTGCCCGTGTGCCTCCCGGAATGGAAGCCAGGGCCTCAACGGGACAGGCACACACCAGCGTTCACAGCTACGTCATGGGCCCACGACGGACGGACAGACAAGAGGCGGCCCGTCCACGCCGTGGAGTGCTACACAGCCCTAAAAAGGACGAGGCTCCTTCACAGGCTACCATGTGGGCGAACCTTGAGGACATTATGCCGAGTAAGGTGAGCCGATCCAAAGACAAACAGCGTGTGGTTCCACTTCCATGAGGGTCCTGGAGCCGCCGAAACCGCAGAGCTAGGCGGTGGCGGGGGTGCTGCCAGCAGCTGGGGAGTGGGAATGGGGAGGCAGCGTCTAACAGGGACATTTCAGTTTTGCAAGATGAAGAGAGTCCTGGGTTCGGAGGGCGGAGGCGGTTGCACAACATTGTGGACGTACTTAATGCCACTGAACCATACGCTTAAAGATGGTTAAGATGGTACGTCTTATGTTATATGTATTTCAACACAATTTTTAAAACTCACATGAAGCCATAGTCCATTGTGTGTGTTTGTGCATTTTCAGTAAGACTAAAAACAGGCGCAGAGAAGGGGGTCATTGCTGGGGACAGAGGGAGAAGGAAACATCCCCAGGAATGCTGGGGATGGGAGCCGGGGGAGGGAGCTATGAACACCCTTGCTGCAGTTCCTCTAAAGGGAGGCGGGGGGGGGGGGCCGGGGGGGAGAGAGAGAGAGAGAGACACACACACACACACACACACACACACACACACACACACCCCGATCTGCTCCAGAGCAAACACGCCCCAACGTGGCTAACTACTAAATGCCTTCCTTTACGGGGTCTTTCAGCAAACGCTTCCTGAGGACCGGCCATCAGCCGGGCACTGCGGAGCAGCAAACCACTAAGATGAAAGTCCTGCCTTCAAAGAACGCGCGCTCTAGTGGGGTGGACAGGCGCCAGGCGGGTCAAGGCGCAGAATCCGCGTAGTGCTTCAGGCGGGATAACGCCTGGCGGTCTGCAAAGGAAGTAGGAGAAGGGCGACCAGGTCAGGAGAGGGCTGCAGCGGAGGCTGGAAGGCCCCTGGCGGGAGCTGCCCTTGAGGAGGGAGAAGTCGGGGAAGAGGCCTGCAGGCAGGGCGGGGCCCTTCTGGCTGTCGAGGGAGGGGGAGGAGAGGGCGGGGCCGGGACGGGAGGCACTTGGGTGAAAATCCAGTGGAGAGGCGAGGATGGCACGGCCGACTGGGGACCGTGGGGAAGGGGCCTTGCTTGGAAGGCAGAACCATAAGATTTCCTTGGCTTGGAGCTGGGGTAGGGGGACAGAAGAAAAGTACAGGCCACCCACCCCCCAGCCCGAGCACCCAAGGAATGGAGGGGCAGCTGCACGTTTGGGGAAGACCAGGAGCTCAGCTTCGAAGACAGAGAGCAGGCCGCTGGGTACATGAGTGTGAGGTCCCGGGTGGAGGCTCGGGCAGGGGGTGGGGGGGCGGTTACTGTCATTGATAGTCTTTCTGTCACGAGGCGCAATCAACATAGACAGTGCAGAGAGGAGGCCCGATGTCCACAGGCAGGGGTGCGAGGAGGCTAAGGGGAAACCAGAAAGGAGTCTGAGAAGGAGAGGCCGATGAGGAGGGCGGGAAGACAGGAGAGGGGGCGCCTGGAAGCCAAGGGAGAGACAGGTCAGTTTGCCTCCAATGCTGCTGACGTGGTGATCGGATGAGAGCTGGGACCGGCCCATGGATTTTACAATCTGAGTGGTGGATACGCAGGTGTCTGTTATGTTACTTCCTATACTTTTATGTTTAAAATATTTCATAATTTATGATGATGAAGAGGAAGAGGAGGAGGAGAAAAAGGGAGCTAGGAAGGATGAAGGAAGGCGAGGAAAGAGGAAGCATGAAAATGAGAGAAGAGAGCAAGAGAGAGGGAAGGGAGGAGGAGCTCTCTTCTCATTTTCCTTCCTTTTTCCTCTCCTCCTTCATCCTTCCTCTCTCTTCCTCCCTAAGGAGAAGAGAGAGGGGAGGGGAGGGGACGGGAGGGGAGGGGAAGGGGCAAGATAGCTCATGGCTATAACTGAAGAAGGAAGAAAGAAGGGAGCAGAGAGCGGGCTCTGTGGCGCCAGGACCAGAAGCAGCAAAGCAGAAGTTTGAACTCTTGGCCAGGGGACCTCCCGAATCCGTGATGGAAACATGTTTAAGGAAATCCATCCCTCTGTAAATTGTCCAATAACTCCTCTCTGAAGTGAAAAATGCATACTTGGCGCTCCTGGTTGATATGTACACAATAGCGTCAGGATCAATGCAAGCCAGTCAGCCACTCCGCAAAGCTACCCAGGGTGAAGGCGAGAAGAATCTTTGCTAATCGTTCCCCCTAATTGAATTTAATGTTTACTGTCAGGTTTTAAAGATTAATTCCCAAACACCACCGCAGCCTGAAGTGTGTACCTTTTTTCAATTAGGCAATTAGAGATCCCAATCTGCTTTCGTGGAATTAAGGAGTCAAGTCTTCTGTCGAATGTTCTAAGATGACTTAACATATTAACTAGAAGCTAATTCTATGTGTCCAACAAAAGTCAGATTTGGGAAGAACATGACAAGTAAACTGGTGCTTGCTTGTCCCATGTTTACTGCGGTCTCCGTGGCCTGCTTACTGCGACATGGCCCTACCCACCAGGAGCTCTCAGCCTCTTAAGACCTATTTTTAGCCACGGTCGCATTCTCCCTGCCCACCTGCCTGCCTTTTGTTTTTGATGATAAAGACAAAAACAATATCCTTATAAAAGATTCAAATTATACACACATGCAAAAACCAAAATGCCGTAAGAATCAACTGCGGGATTGCTGTGTCTCTGATTGCATCGGAAATAGGTCTGTTCTGCTTTAAAAAAAAAAAAAATTAAGAAAGAAACACAAAGTAAAATTCATCCATAATCCCACCACCTGGAGATAATGGCTGTCAGACTTTGGGGTGAATCTCTGTCTCCCATGTGGCCCCGCCTCGGGGGCCCTTCTCGTTTAGCCCTGGCTCCTGGCCTCTTCTCCATCCCTCGATAGCCCCACTCTCTGGGACTTCAATTCTAGAGACCCTGGTCAGACTCACATGGCTCCGCACAAGCCTGTGCAGCCAGTGCCCAGGCTTCACCAGGCTGTGTGTCTGCAAAAGCTTTGGAACCTGCAAGGAGGGTGTGTTCAAGTGCTAGAATTGCACTGAATCTGCACACCAATGTGGGGAAATGTCTTAACAATATTCAGGCTTCCTTCTGATGCCTGGACAGGATATATTTATCCTTTTGTTTAGGTAGTCTTTAATTTTCTAAGTAATGGTTTGTAGTTTTTTTTAAAAGAAA